CCCCCCCCCCAATCTAAGCACACAGTTACGCACCATCAGCAGTAGTGAACTATTTAAAATGGCCGCATTCAGGACTGACGTCAAGTCTTCAGTCCAAAAGTCTCTCTCACCACATTTCACTTCAGACTCCAGAGATTGTTGAGCAAGGGCAGCACATCAAGTTAATTAAGCCTCAAGATACATCCATCAATGTGCCAGAGCACGGAATCCTACCCGAGGGGTAGAGAGGAGGGCCCTGCGTGTAACGTCCAGGGAGCAGCAGGCCCGCAGCCACACCCACAGACGTGGCGACCGAAGGCATGGCCAGAAATAGCCGCTCCACTTTTAGAGGCCGCGGCTGGACCCAGCCAGCAGCAACGGCACTCCTGGGAAGTAGGGAGGCCTTCAGAAAAGCAAGGAGCCGCTCCCAAATTACGGAGCGAGTACAAGAAAATTTATAAACTTTGGTTAATTGCTCTTCCCACGCCTAAAGGCTTCCACGTTAAAGCGAAACCAGTCTTAACTGCCTGTAAAACATGAGACGTAAAGCCAGGAACAGGAGCGTGCGTTTTGCACTTTAGTCTGTTAATTTTAAAAAACCACTTTGATCCGTCTAATAGAACTGCTTTTCTGGTACAAGTGCACAGTAAGCAGGGCTATAAGCCCTTGAAGCACCAGCACATTAGGGAGAGGAGACCCAGACCGGCAAGCCGGCCCATTCCAGGGCACCAGCACTCAAACTGATATTTGAATTTTTTTTGATAAATATTGCAACATATTAAGCAAAAAAGGGAGTTGAAATTTCACCCAAAGTAAACTACAGCCAAAAACTACTTATCTACCAGTAGACTGAGATAAATGAGCTGGTGTTGCGGCCAACACACACAAAGGAGCGCAGGCAAATCACCTGCTTTTGCTCAATATCGTCTCTACGGAATCCAAAATATTTCGATACAGCAGAATGTCTTCATGACCAGTTCCTGTTCGCTTTTGTCCTTCAATTTTGTTAATTTCTCAAACGTGCCACTGTCTACGTGCGAGTCTGACAGCAAAGCCGAAAATGATCATGCGTTCTCTGAGCCGGTCATTAAGAGCTCATGCAAAAGTAGTGACATTTTTTTAAGTCACACTAGATAAAGGAAACAAAAAACATTCAAGATGGTTTCCATCGTGACAGAGTAAAAAATTTAACATAAGTTATTGATGCTCTCAAACCAACCATCCCGGCCATTACAATGAGACAGCTGCATATGTGCATGACATGCGCCGTTGATGTTGTTAACAACGTACGTCCTGCAGCCCTAGTCCAGATGACTGACACCCTTTATTGAATATTAGCTACAACTCAGAAACTCTGATGCAAAAAGCAGAACTTCCTCCAAAATGTGTGATGTTTGAGGGGGAGGGGGGGGGGGGGGGGGGGAAGAAAACCTTAATCTCTTGTGTGCATTAATTTGCAAGAGAATTGAAGAAGTGTCCTAAACCAGAGGGCCTCAACAACATAACAACCACAAACCCAGTAGCGTGTTGAATAAAATGAAATGAAGTTTTATTTGCCATGTACAAAAACAGGTACTGGAGAATGGGCTTCCTCCACATATTCCATCTT